ACCCACAGCAACCTCAAACTCTTGGGCTTAAGTGATTTTCTTGCCTCAGCCTCCTGAGTAGCTGGAACTACAAGCACCCACCACAATGCCCGGCTGTTTTTTGGTTGTAGTTGTCGTTGTTTAGATGTAGGTCTGGGCCGGCCTCGAACCCGCCACCTTCAGTGTATGTGGCCGGTGCCCTACTCAGTGAGCTATGGGTGCCAAGCTAGCACTATATATTAATAAAAATAGAATACATGGGAAACACTGAGTATAATGTACACAGTGAGGACAGTTATTGATTCATGAAACGTATGTTTCAAATTTTCTGTACATATGTACATGTGTACCTGGTTATGATATTTTAAAATACTGGAAATGCACAATAAACAATCCAGTGTAAGAAATGTTTTTCTGGAATTTGTCCTGAGCTCGTCAAACACCATTTGTCTTACACAGGTTGAGCAATTCCTAATCTGAAAATCCAAAATCCAAAATGCTCCAAAATATGAAACTTTTTGGGCACCAATGTGATGCCACAAGTAGAGAATTCCACACTTGACCCCGTGTGATGGGTCACAGTTAAAACTTAGTCAAAAGTTTGTTTCATGCACAAAATTATTAAAAATACTGTATGAAATTACCTTTAGGCTATGTATATAAGGTATATATAAAACAAAAAAATTCATATTTAGATTTGGGTTCTATTCCCAAGATATTTTATTACATATATGCAAATACTCCAAAATCTGGAAAATTCTGAAATGCTTTTGATCCACAACATTTCAGATCAAAGATTCTCAACCTGTATCAAAGAATAATCATTCCTCAATAATTGTTTAAAACTTAAAAAAACCCAAACCACTAAAGTCTGTAATACCGCCAACTAGCTAGAAAAATGGGAAGGGTGAATGAAGCTGATACATATATGCCTCCATTTAAAAAAAAATTTTTTTTTTGTAGAGACAGAGTCTCACTTTATCACCCTTGGTAAAGTACTGTGGCATCACAGCTCACGGCAACCTCCAACTCTTGGGCTTAGGCAATCTCTTGCCTCAGCCTCCCAAGTAACTGGGACTACAGGTGCTCGCCACAACGCCCAACTATTTTTTTTTGCAGTTTTTGGCCAGGGCTGGGTTTGAACCCACCACCTCCAGCATATGGGGCTGGTGCCCTACTCACTGAGCCATAGGCACTGCCCAATTTTTTTTTTTTTTTTTTGAGTCAGAGTCTCACTATGTGGCACTCTAGGTAGAGAGCTATGGCATCACAGCACACAGCAACCTTAAACTCTTGGGCTTAAGCGATTCTCTTGCCTCAGCCTCCTAAGTAGCTGGGACTATGGGCACCTGCCACAACACCTGACTATTTTTGGGTTGTAGTTGTCATTGTTGTTTGGCAGGCCCCGGGCTGGATTCGAACCCATCAGCTCTGGTATATGTGGCTGGCACCTTAGCCGCTTGAGCTACAGGTGCAGAGCCTTAAAAAAATTTTTAAGACAGAGTCTCACTGTTGTAGGGCTAGAGTGTAGTGGCATAATCATAGCTCATAGCAACCTCAAACTTGTGGGTTTAAGCAATCCTCCTCCCTCAGCCTCCCAAGTCGCTGAGGTGCATGCCACCACACCTGGCTAAGTTTCTCCATTATTTGCAGAGACAGGGGTCTTGCTGTATTGCTGAGGCTGATCTTGAACTCCTGGCTCCAAGCAGGCCTCTTGCCTTGGCCTCTTAGAGTGCGAGGATAATGGGCACGAGCCACTGTGCCCAGCCCTTTCTGTTTTTTGCCCTTTGAGACAGGGTCTCACTCTGTTACCCAGTTTGAAGAGCAATGGTTCAGTCACAGCTCACTGCAGTCTCAAACTCCTGGGCTCAAGCAATCCTCCCACCTCAGCCTCCTTCCCCATTTTTTGTAGAGACAGGATCTTGCTGTGTTGCCCAGGCTGGTCTCCCACCTTGCTTCCCCAGTTGCAGAGACTATAGGTGTGAGCCACCATGCCCTGATCTTGGCTCCTTTACCACTTCACCAAAAATAGGGTAGCTTCAAAGTTTCATCTCTAGGCCTGAACAAAAAAGAAAACTATTTTTCTATCAATGCATTGACTTGGTCTCAACAAAACCAGTCCAAGTACAGAATAAAAAATATCCAAGCAATTCATTTTGAAAGGATTTAACTTTAATTCTGTTCTTTCTAGTTACAACCTCACTACTGAGAGCAAGTTCAAACATCTATAGACCACCAGAGTTTTCCTGGCATTAACTTGCTTACTGAGATTAATAAGAAATGATAAGCAATAAAAGAAAAAAATTATAATGCTTTTTTCTTTTTCAGCTTCACACAGAGTATTTGATCTTTGGTTTTCCCTGTAACTTATGATGAAAAATTGAGAGGAAATAGCTTTACCTGAGATTCAGAGAGATAACCAGCATCGCTTCCTTGTTCGATTCCAGTCTTTACTACCTAAAAAACATACAAAGCACTTGCTCAGAGGAATAGATAGGCAAGATATAAAATAATGCTAAATAAAACTGCCAGTGCTGTTAGCCCTGAAAGAGTAAATTAAAAGTCTAGACTGGTGTGAGAAAGACAAAAGGATTGAGTGCCTGGTGCTCAAGGTTGATTTCATTCGTCATCTCTGAAGCTACTACCAAACCTAGCATAAAATGGAAAAGGAAAGAGAAAACTTAAATTCCCCTTCCAACTTCCCTACTGTTCTTCAAACGTAAGGCGAGCCTTACACTTTTAACCCTTTTCTCTCTATGCTTTCTTCCTTAGATCCATGACACATTAATCATGAACTCTATGAAATTCAATTTAACACTTGAGCTAAGTACCACCTGAAGTACAATGATAAGAATAAGAGTATGACCCTGTACTCAATCGCCATTAAGTTTTATTTTTATTTTATTATTTTTTGTTGTTGTTGCAGTTGTCATTGCTGTTTTAGCTGGCTGAGGCTGGGTTTGAACCCGCCACCTTCGGTATATGGGGACGACGCCCTACCTACAGGTGCTGCCTAAGTTTTATTTATTTATTTATTTATTTATTTGAGACAGAGTCTAGCTCTGTTGCCTGAGTAGTGTGCTGTGGCATCATCATAGCTCACAGCAACCTGAGGTTGCTCCTGGGCCCAAGGGATCCTCTTGCCTTAGCCTCTTGAGAGACTGGGACTACAGGCACAGGCTATCATCCCCAGCTAATTTTCTCTATTTTAGTAGATATGGGGTCTTACTCTTGCTCAGACTGGTCTTCAACTCCTGTGCTCAAGGGATCTTCCTGCCTTTGCTTCCCAGAGTGCTAGGATTACAGGTGTGAGCCACTGCACCGGGCTAACCCACTTTTCTTCTAACCCACTTCTATCCATTACTGTGAAAATAGCTCCCTATGATCTATATTGGACAAAGGTAAAATTTTCTCAATTTGTTATTGCCAAATGTCTAAAATCTAGCTTTAATCTGCCTTTCTTTTTTTAAAATATTTATTTATTTATTTATTTATTATTTTTTTGGAGACAAGAGTCTCACTGTGTCGCCTTGTGGGCAGAGTGCTGTGGCGTCACAGCTCACAGCAACCTCAAACTCTTGGGCTTAAGCGATTCTCTTGCCTCAGCCTCCCAAGTAGCTGGGACTACAGTGCCCACCACAATGCCCGGCTATTTTTTTGTTGTAGTTGTCAGTGTTGTTTGGCAGGCTCAGGCTGGATTCAAACCCACCAGCCCCGGTGTTATGTGGCTGGTGCCCTAGCCGCTGAGCTACAGGTGCCGAGCCTAATCTGCCTTTCTTAAGGCAGATAGTTAACATCTTACTAACCCTCTACAAAAACTGGTGTCCCTAAATGTTCCTTGAAGAGCCTCTTGTTTTTCACCTTCTGTAACTTTACTCAAAATGCCTGTCCTACCTGGCACTACTTTCCTTTCACTTATCCTTCACCCAGTTTTCAGGACTCAAGTCAGATCTCATGAGGCTCTTCCTAATCTCATTGGCTCCAGGGGATGGTTCCCTCCTCTGTGCACTCAGCAATTTTCCTCTGTTCCCACAATCTGTTATTAATCTTATGCTGCCTTATCTCTCATGCAGTCACCTGCCTGACCGTGTGTGTGTGTGTGTGTGTATGTGTCTCTCTCCAGCCCAGACTGTGAGGCAAAAGCAGGTAGGGGATCATGTTTCATATTTTAGGTATCCTCAAAATTTATTTGTTGACTAACCCATTATCCAATGAAGTCTTTGATTATATGCTCTTTTAACCCTGGACTTTCCAACTGAAAGTTCTAAGGTTTTTTTTTTTTTTTTGTAGTTTTTGGCCAGAGCTGGGTTTGAACCCCCCACCTCCGCCCTACTCCTTTGAGCCACAGGTGCCGCCCAAAAGTTCTACGTTTTTAAAGTCTACCACTGGACAGAGATTTCTTCAATCCTGTGACCAGTTTAATTATCCTTCTTGATCTTTGGCAGACTATCTCTATATCATTTTAAAAAATAACTACAGCAATAGGAAAGTCCTTGAGGGATTTTATAGTAGGTACTGACAATGACTTTGACAGAAGATTGAATACACCTATCAATTTTGTTTCAACTGTCTCTTGGTTAATTCCTGATATTTGATTGGCCTTGTGAAACTGTTAGGTTTCCCAGAACCTAACTCATAGGTTCTTACTTATAGCTTTAAACTCATCAACCAGTGAGTATGTCTAGGACTAATTTTCCCCAAATATATTATTACTTTAAATGAATCCTCATGGCTTGCTATACTCTTCTCTTATTTTTCTTAAAGCAAAATGGCAGAATAAAGAAATTTAGTATTGAACATACATAGTCCAGAGGTAATAGAGAGGAAATATGGTTAATAGAGAGGAAATTTGAGAAAAGTGCGAGTATAGGGTAAGACTCACATCAATTATTTTCAGAGGTGCAGGATAAAGGCCTTTGGTCTGCTTTCGCACTTTTTCTTCCACTTTTTTATAAATCTGTTGCCTGACAAATGG